CAAAATGGCTGATTTTGAATGCTGTTCCAGAGCAATATCTCTCAATATGGACAAGTACTTGTTTGACGATCAGATACAAATGTCAATCATTTTAATGTTAAAAAAATCATATTCCTGACATGGTTATATTCCAGCTATAATTACTATAAACAAAACTATATATCTTAAATTTGATAACTAACGGGGACTGTGCCATGCATGGCTTGTTTTTTTTTTTGTATTTATCACTTTTATTGTTTTATTTTCTCTCTCTCTACATAACAATTTCTTCTTGAAATGTACAATTACAGATTCTTGTCTCTATGTTTGTCATCATGGGTGTTTCTTTTCTTTTGAACTTTTTCTATTAGAGTATTCCAACAAGTGCATTTTCGTTCAAAATTCAAACAACTTAGTGTTCACAGCAAGTCTCAGGAGTATTGGGGCAGCCAATTTGCAAACTCGCTAGCGAATTGGCTAACTGCTTTGGTTTTGACTAAACGGTTGGCTTTCGAATCTCGCTAAATGTTATCTACATATTTTCTCGATTTTTTGTTGTGGGATCTGGTTTTGTTTTTTCTCTTCTCTTGGCAATGTACAATTCTGTTTTTTGCTTAAAAACATGAAAATCTGGTTTGATTTTTTTAACACCAAAATATATAAATATGTAATTTTCCCAGCAGTACAAAAAAAATTTGTGAGACATGAGAGTGGTTCATCTTCTAATATAATCTGTCAGTCCTAAATTCTGTGCATTAAATCTATTTTCCATATCACAGCATAAAAAGACTTTCCAAAAACAGGTGCCTCATAATTTTTATTCGCTTACTTTTCTAAAATGTTTGTGTAAAAAAATACACTTTAGTTGCCTACTTTCTTGATTGAGCCTTCTGATAAATATTCTTGTTTTTTACTTTTCTATTGTTTTTTTTGTTCTGTCTTTGCTCCATTTCTACTATTGTTTATTCAAACAGAGTATCTGAAAATAGGTAAAAAACACAACTTACAGGTCTTACTAGTACCTTATCATTAAAAACAGCCTTGACTTATCTCAAGCCTGACATATAATTTATTACAGTCCAGTGAGTCCACAGTGGTACAAGTGACCATGAGAAACTGAAGGCCAAACTGATAATGTGTTCCTTAAAAGAGGCCAAAATCCTGCCTGCCTCATTGCTGTTTTGTAATTTTTGTATCTGCTTTCTGGTTTCAGAGAAACAGGTTCGAAATGTCCAATAGATAACACACCACTGTCTTTCAGTTCGGTAAGTAGTTATTACATGTTATTTGAACCACCTGCAGTATCCCACGCCAAATTCATACATGCAACTACTTACTGCTGGCACTGTGAATGTTTTCTACAGACTTGCGATGTATACTTCACTTTTTAATTAATATTAATTAACTAATAATAATATTAACTGTACTTGTTAGTTGGTGCGTAATCTTGATATTTTTTTGTTGTAGCTGTTTCCTGATAATTTTGCAAAGCGAGAGATACTAGGTTTGAGGGTGAAATGTCCCAATCCTGGCTGCACGTTTGTGTTTGAACTGAGAAATTTAGAGGTAAATTAATGTGCACTATTTTCGTTGACTATATAATTACAACCTAAAATGATGTCTTTAAGAATTTTATTAATTATTTTTTTAGCTCCGCTGTCGACAAAGTTGACACAGCGGAGCTGTTCATATTACTGATTGTCCGCGTGATATATTGTCGGCATCTGCGTCAACTTTACAATTTCAACTTCTTCTTCAAAACCACAGGTCAGAATGTTTTCAAATTTGATATGCAAGTACCTTGGATAGTTCTTTCTCAGATTTGTTCATTTCATGTCAAATTCTCTAATTTTGGTGAATATTTTTGTCATTTTTGGTAAAAAGTGATATTTTGACTTCTTGTTAAAA